GGTTGCCGGCGGCTGGTCACCGGTGCCCAGAAGGGCAGCGGGGTGCCTGCGGCATGGTGCGCAAAGTATTTTGGAGCAGCTGCATTTCTGTCATCTGTAAGGCTCCTCGTGGTTTAGTTCAGGGGGTTTGCTGGATCTGTGCAGCCAGTGCAATTTGCGCTTCCCAGCCTTGGGGAACCAAGACTCGGTGTTCTACACTCACGCAAAGACCTGAAGTAGGTATAATCGCATACCTTTGAATATATGAGTGCTACAGGGATTTGGTTTTCAGTTAATTATAATAACGGCAGGGGGGAAGAATAATCCTAGGCTACTCTATTAGGCATTTCCAGCTTAAGATGAAAAGTGAACTCCTTACCAGGTTTCCAGTAAAGGGATTGTCAGCATCTTCAAATAACTGTTTTGAAATAGAAGAGGAATTGTTCTTACCCTCATGATTTGTTTATGTGTTTTCATTCTTGAAAGCCAATACCACAAGCCATTGTATACTGCAGGAGGAACTATGCAGCACCAATTAGCAATGGCCTACTCCAGCTCTTCACTTAATTCCATGTTCGCAGTAGTGTGATAAAGGGATCTTTTTCATCAGATACAGGACCAGATACAGATAGTGCAGATACAGGAACAACCAGAACATTCCATCATGCAAACCTGTAATTTGTGCTGTTAAACTGATAAGGGGAAGGTGTCACTTAATATAGTGACAGTTCTTAGACCAAGGCACTCCCATTTCTCAAAATACCAGTCAAAGGAGTTTTCTTTTTTTTCCTAGGTAGAGCAATGCTTGAAGCGCCTATGGAAAATGAACTTGGTGGGCTGCATTGAAACTCTGGCAGGACTGATTCCCAAGTAAGCGTCATGATCCCATGTGTTATACAGGATATATTAATTAAGTTTGTCTGCAGAGCTAAAGAGGGTGAATGCTAGATCATAACCATCTCCTTATCCTTGTATCAACACAGGAAAAATACACCCCAAGCCCATGCAGAGTGCTTAGTTCCCAGCCAGCCTACACTGGAAACAGTGGCTCTGAAGGTGTTGGGAGGTTGCAAGCTCATACTGCGTCTACTGGACTGTTGCTGTAAAGCTTTTCTGTATCCTTTTTTTCACCATGAACACATTCTTACAGATGACCAACAGCACCTTACGAGACCAAAACTAGGTCTGCTGTAGGTCCTGTGTTACTGATGGACTCAACTGTGCAATTCATGTGTGCAACTTGGGAGTTTCTTTGATAGCCAAACATCTTATTTTCAAGTTATTATGTAGGAACCTCAGGCTGTTGGCTGGCTGCTGTTCTGGCCTTAGGCAACCCAAAGTTTGGACGCTCATCTCCCAAATTATCTAGAATATTCCCTTGTGAATTGCCTCTAGTTGGTGTGTTCAGCAAGTCTCATTACATGCTGTTTATTTTTTATCCTTAACTGGTCTAATCTTCAGCTTGTCCGTTCAACATCTCTGCTCGGGAGAATTCATACTTTTGAACACTGTGGCTTCGGGGTTGTTGAGCCGGCTACGGTTTGTGTATTCAAAAGTCTGCCTTGTTTGTTGTCTGTCTGTTTGACGTGCCTGTCAGGGAGAACAGCTTGTAATTAGGCCTTGTTGCTGAGTGAGCTTTATTCAGTTGGGAGGAGGAGGAGGAGGGGGGTCCCTCCATTCTTTTGGACTTGATTAGCACCTGAAGAATTGTTTAAGTGGAGAGAGACTTCTTACATGCTGTTTTGGAAGGCTTTGTTCTCGGTTCATAGCAAACTTTATGTAGCACTAATAAAAGTCACAGTGTTAAAGCCAGCCTGCAACAAACATCCAGTACTCTGTGCAGCAAGCAGTAAGTCCTGCCTCATGCTGAAATGGGAAGGCTGGGATAAAGTTGTTGTATAATACTGCTGAGTTTTCCAGTGAAATCATTGTTCTAGTCTCTCTCAGTACAGCAGAGCAACACCAAGAAAATAACTGCTATTTGTAGCTGAAGGGGTAAAAGCATTGCATAGAACTCAGGAAAATGTTCTTTGGCACAAGGAATCCATCTCCCCAGTAAACGCAGAGCAGGCAATTTTATGGGATCAGTGCTAGCACCATTGTCCTGAGTTGGTACAGGTTGCTCCTGGGGGAAGACCTCTTCCTCAAATGATTTAGATGTGACCTGGGAACCTGCTGAATCCCAGGTGTGGCATGCCACAAAGCTCTAGGGAAACAGAGGGGGTCCTGATCAAGGATTTACTAGTCAAGTCACTCCCGTGCTCTGATCTTGAACAGTTCCTTAAAGCTCAGACTGACATTAAGGAAAGCATGGTGATGGAGTGTAAAAAGATAAGCTTGTATTGAGGGGGAATGGGGAAAGAGCAGGTTGGAATCTCTTCCATCAGCTTTTCTGCTTGAGCTGAAGGTAGTTATTCAGTGAGCACAAGGTTTTGCTGAAGGAGACGCTGCCATACCTTTCTGTCTTTTCTCTTCAGGATTCAGTACAGATGTGTATTGCAGAGCCTCATTGCCTTGTATGGCACATTGTCGACATCACTTCATCTGGTATCTGAGACCCAACAGATGCCTTATATCAAGGGGTTTACCTTCCCTTCTGATATCAGTAACTTTCTTGGAGTGAATATTTTTTCTGAGGTGAAGAACCAAAAGGTTAAAATACTTAAAACAAAAAAACCTACCAGCTGGCTGAAGAAGCTCTTCCCAACAATGCCAGAGGCAGCATCAGAAGTGGGGAAAAAGAGAAATTTTGTGACTTGCACGAGTGCTGTGAAAAAGAGTAGCATCCCATGCCCTGGGGACATTGGAGAGCCAGTTCTGGTGACCAGAGCCAGCAGAGGTAAGGCCTTGTGCCACTGTTTCCTGACATCTCAGAGACTGACTGTAGCTTCTGTCTGACAGAGCCAAGCACTTGTACTATCCACAGAGTGTAGTTCTAGTACAAACTCCCCTTTCCTGGCCGTGGAAGAAGAGGTGAACACTGCATGTACCCTTGCCTTCATAGAGCTGTGGATAATTTCAGTATTGTGAGGCTTTTCGTTTGTTTTTTCTAAACATGATACAGCCTGAAGAGAAGCAGGTGACGAATGCAGTGTATAGGTCCTGTTAATAGTCATGTATTTTCCTGCCTCTGTGTAGATGGGGCCCAAAGATAGTGAGGGAAGCTAAGAGCACTGTCTGTAGTCCGTACAAGAGTAGATAAGGTTGCAAATACAGGATGCGGGTATCCTGTGCTTGCTGGTTCTTCGCTGTGCCCATGTCTTCCCCTGCAGTCAGGGCTACGGCCAGTGACTGCACGCATCCAAGTGTTTGCGTGAAGCTTTTACCCATGAAGTTCTCCTTTGCAACCATCTGTAAATCTCTGCATCCTCTTCATCCTTTGCCAGCTGCCCTGTGAGATGAGCGTAGCCCCCTTGAGTTTGTCTGGAAATGTTGAGTACAGGTGTGAGCCTGCTGAGACAGCAGGAGATCTGAGAGCTCAGCAGGGCAAAGTGTTGCAGCGTCTCTGTGAAAGCTGTCTGTTATTTCATAATAGGAACCTTCCTGTCTCTTTGTAGGGAAGCACTTGGCCTTTGATGTGAAGAGCTTACTTAGACCATCCAGACCTCTAACGCAACAGGTTTGTATGGCACCATTTTACCCTTTTTTTTTTTTTTTTTTTAAAGACCCTAACACTCAAAACATGATAACCCTAATGGAAAACGTCCCTTTTCCCTGCTATGTTTTTGCTTGTCTAACAACCTAAGTTGGCATGGAAGCTTTGCACTGAAAATCACTCCTAATTTCTGCTTATGAATTTGAGCATTTGTTGGTATGTCACACGAAATGACCAGAGAGCAAGTCAATAGTAGACAGGCATACAAATTCTTATTATTTGCTGCCTCTTTTTGTATTCCACAAAACAAGACTACTCTTCCACTTTCTCCTTAGGAAATAAGGAATATTCTCACAAAAACCTCAGTGCTCTGCTCCTCTCCAGCAGAGAGGATCAGCCGTGTCATGTTTTTAAAAGAATAACTATTTCTGTTATTGTTTCTTTCAGGGTATAAGCGTTGCATCAACACCTTCCAAAGCAAAATCAAAATCAACATCACTTTCCTCTCGTATAGCAAAATTGCAGCATACTGGAGCTCTTGTACAGATGGTGCAAACAGCTATGTCATTTGGGGAATTGTCAGAGGCACTCAGAAAAGCTATTTTGTGGTGCAAAGGCAACAAATTCAAATCGGAAGCTTATTTTCTGCGTAACAAGTTGTTGAAAAGCAACCGGCTGCACCACGTGGAGGCTCAAGGATGCAGGTAATTTTACATGGGTGTGGGGTTTCTGGATCTGACACTTTACATTTTAATATTAAGTAGTTTGCTAGTGTGGAGAAACACAGTGGTCTAACCCACTCTCTTTACATTCAAATGGGATCACTAGTTCAGGTGAACATCAAACTGGATGGTTTGATGTGAACATTGTGTTTAGCTTCAGTCATTTCTGAAAGGATTTAAAAGGCTAATAAATGCATAAACCATTCAGAAGGAGGATGAAAATGCACCTTAAGTCATGTGCATGCTTAATGGTAACGATTATATTATGCAAGGGGTGTTGTCTTTCTTCAGAACATCCTGGCTACAATGGTACAAGGTGCTGTTGTATTTCCTTGGTATGACAAGGAAAACGGTAGAGAAGGCTAATAACCAAATCTCTCCAAACCCCAAATGAAATGACACTTTAGCAGCTGATAAAGTTATGTTTTCTGCACCTTCCTCCCCTTAAGCTTGAAGAAAAAACTGTGCTGTGTCAAAACATCTGTCCGTAAATACCTCCTATACGGGTTACAAAACATGTGCTGGCCAAAGCGGTACCTTGGGGTACGGTTCTGTCGAAGGAGGATCAAATCATCCGTGCGCTTGAAGAGAACTCTGAAGACTGTTCGGCAAAATCCTTCTGAGCTTTTTGGGGTCTGTGAGAACAGTGCATCACTTATCCTCCCAGCTTACCAGGATGGGCCTCTGAGTTGGGAAGGACGTTCCAATGCTGATACAGCCTCTCTCGACCTAAGCACAGCTGGGACACCTAAGCAGCTGCTGCGGGAAGGAAGTCTTGGCCCTGTGTGGAAAGAAGCTACTGAGAACATGGATATTGATTCTATTTTTGCAGCAATGGGTGTCTGACCCTGGACTTGCAAGGAGGAAAGAGGTAAAGTCATTCCAATTATTTTAAGTAAAACCCTCAAAACCCTAATGGTGTCTTGGTAACTCACAGCCTGAATAATGGGAGGGTGTTTCAAACAGCTGAATAGTGACTGAGTTATCCTTACTCAGTGTCCCTTCTCTATTGCTTGACCACATGTTAAGTGCTGCTGTCAAATCCACAATGCAAATAGTTACTATCCACAGCAGAAGGCTGCAGCTGATCACTTACTGCTGCTTAGGACAAAAGACTTGCTGCCACTTTTCCAAGGAAAGTCTTGTACCCTTCCTTCTATGCTGCTTGTACGTGGGACAGCCTTGACTTACAGTATACTGCCATTCAGCATTTGTTATCCTTGCCCTACAATAGGGAATTAACTGAACCTATTGCCTCTGAGAGCCGTTCCAGAAATAGGGCAAAGCACAGCAGTGGCCTGCAACAGTAACTCCTGACTGGTGAACATGTGTCTCACTGTCCTGAAATCTTCTAAGTGCAATTTCTACCTGCGTAGCAACGTAAGGCACAGCTACTCTAACACGTACTAGTGAAATAATGTTAGAACAAGCAATATGGTTAGTCCTTTCTGCCAGCCTCTTGTAACTAAGTCCCAAGATCAGGATCACCAGGAAATACTAAGAAAAAATTGTCTTGGAATGAAGAACAGGAATCTGCTTTATTGTAGAGCACCTGCCTAATAGGGGTAGGGAAAGGCTGTAAGTGCAAGTAAATCTAGAATAGGTTAACTTCAATTTCCTAGGCTTAATATTGGTAGAAAACAAGAGCTGTACCCACTGGGACAGGAAAAAGAGAATACCTTCCTAGGCAATTAAGTGCTGAAAAAAATATGTATTATGCACCTTGTGTGAATTGGTCAATGTAAGTTTAGTTATGAGGGGTGGGCACAAAGTTAACATGATTTATTCGAAGAGCATATACAGAGCAAAGAGCAGGACTTCTCCGGTAGTTTGGCCTTGAAGACTTTGTCCACTCAGCCAAGATCCATTTTCTAGGTTTCCTGTCATGGGAATACCTAGTGATAACTGAAATAAGTGTAGAGAATCACCCATCATTAGCCCTCTAGATATCTGATTCAACATAGTCCTATTTCAAGCAGACTTACTGCCATTACAAGCATCTTTTCTCATTTCTACAGCTCTTTTCTCATTTCATAAAATGGCATAAAAATACGTCAGTATGCCACATACAATCAGGTAACACTCAGCTGCTTGAATACCTTTCAGAAAAGGCTGAGAGCAAGCCTAGACATCCCAGCAGTGACCTCCATCCTAAATAACCCCTCCAAACAACACACATGATGTTCCTTCTTTTTGGGCAGCAGGTGCCCAAGTAATGCCCCAGTGCAGCCTGCACACAGAATCAAGATCCGTAGTTTGCTTCATCAAAGGCCTTTCTGGCCCGTTTCAGTTCTTCGTTCATAGTTAGGAGGTCTTTAACTCTGGCAAACTTCCGGGGGTCCTTGCGGATTAGAAAGACAATGTCCTCAACCTGTACACGACCCTGCCGCCCAATTGACATGGCCTTGTGCGTCTGTTAGAGGAAAAGAGGAAAGTCAGCAGAGTTTCTTTGCCCCTTAGGGTTTTTTTTTGTGTGTGTGTTTGTTAAGATCTCAATTCCACTTTATTTCCTGTCATTTTAGAATCAAAAAGTAAGCAATTTCAGGATCTGGGCACCACCGTCCTCGTCACAGGAGAGCTTCCCAGTAAACCATGGACTTACTGTTGCTCTTCTGTCCCCAGCTACCTGTCACACCCAGCACATACCGCTACATACACACAACAGTAATGACATCAAAACTAAAGCCAGATTACATGTGGGACTCCCCAGCCTGCAGAGTGCTTGAAGATGAACAGCAGCAGGCAGAACTTGGAAGCAATGGGGAGCACTTGTATCATGGGACATTTTAGGGCATTTTGATGAGGGAAGGCAAGGCCAACCTCTCAAAAGAAAGGGCATCCACCAAACAGTAGGAATAACTTTTTTTTTGAAAAACACAGCAAACTTTCAAACAGAATCCAAGTGTATGGAAGAGGGACAGCTTCAGGTCTCAGAAGCTTGCATTTCTTTTGTAGGGCACAGCTACGTTCCCATCCATGTAAAGACACTGAGAGAACACAAGAAGTCAAACTTTTGAAGCTGAGCCTTGTCTTTTGTCAGCTGCACATATAGTGGTGCCACAGCAAACCTCGAAGTCAGCTGCGTATTTCCCCACTACCAATACTAATGTAACTGCTACTTAAGGACGTCAGACACTGTTCTAAACCCACACAGAGCAAGATGCATGAATTTTGCCTTAATCTCGGAAGCGCAAAGTCGAAGTTTAGCTTTTTCCTACTAGCATCAGTTTTTAGCCTGGGATAATGCCGTATTTGAGGCAGAGATATCTGCCTCATCCTTCAGAAGACTAAAGTCTTACTGAGGATGTTTTGACCATGCTGTCTAGAGCCGACTTACCATTTCTGTGATAAACTCTATTACCAGGTCCTCAAGAATGTCCACTGATTCTGTGTAAGGGTTCTGGTCATCCCCGAATCCATACATCATGCACCTTACTGCAGAAAAAAACACTCAGCGTGAGGCTTCTTTCGTCCATTCAGCGCTGTCAGCAGCACACATCTAGCTGGAGCTCACCACCAGCCCACACATTCCTGCACCAGGGTGGCACCTGGTCTGTCGGGCAGGACAGTTCGTGAGCAAACGTGTGGGAAATAAGCAGGTAGACAGAAGCCAAGAAAAGCCGAGTGCTGCGCATGCAGAAAAGCGCATCTGGCGACAGACTTTAAATATGCATTTAGCCTACCAAATACTGAACGCCCATTGACAGCATGACTGACTTCTGGCACAGTTAGTTTCAGGTGATGCATTAGTGGTATGTTTTGGGGGGTGGGGTGTCTACATGACAGGTTTCTGCGCTTCCAGCCAGGGCACAGAACAAAACCTGCTGTTTTGCTAAGGAAAACTGAGTTGTGAACTCCATAACTGCCTCCTCAGCGTTTCAGCTGTGTCTGGGGGTAGGACATCGTCCTCCACAGCCGCGGGGAGCACCACCACCACCACCAGTACTGCGGGCCTGCCGGCGACCCCTCGGCGCTGGGCAGAGCTTTCTGCCCCGCATCGACTCACGTTCTTTGGAGAACAGCCTCTTCCTCTTGCCCTGCCCGCCGTCCAGGCCCCCGCCGGCTTCTTCCGCGTCTTCTTCAAACTACAGGGACGAAGCGGAGGAGAAACCGCCGTCAGCGCCCGGGGCGGCGGGAGGACCCCTTCCCCTTCCGCCTACCCTCCCTCCC